AGAGGATTATTACTTAGCTTACGCAAAGAAAAGAGCTTATAAAAACCACTGGGACCAGGAACTTTAGCTTATTCACGCAGATGACGCCAAACATTGGAGGCTTTCAAGCATGCAAATTAAGTGAGCCAGCAACTGTTTCGAAATGCAAAGATAGCCTTTGTAAGGAAATAGGTCGAAATCGATACTCATCACCATAACCGACTGCAATGAAAACACACCCCCAAAGGGTAAAAGAAGAATTTTTAGAAGGAAAACGCGGGTTCTCCTGGGAACCGTGGTGGGTTTGTACCCATATTTGGAAAAATAGTCACAAATATTTGACGTAATAGGAATACTACAATGAAAACAACGAAAGAAAAACCAACTCACTTATTAACCTTCAACCCTAATCCATTGAACTCCACTTTCTTCTCCCTATGCTCTTTATTAAGAGCTGCACCGACGGTGGCCTTACGTGGAGGCGTCTTCTTTTTCGTTTTCGTAACCATTTCGGTGACTGCAAAAGAAAATATTTGAATTTTTGTCTGTTCGCTTTAAGAACTTGTATAATCCAAGAGCATTATTTGACACATAGTTAGGAAGAAGAAGAAAAACCGAAAGATCGGAGTTGCAAAAAAGTCAAAAAATAATCTGCCGCTTTTTTAGAAAACTGTTCACGCCGGCATCTCTGCGATGTTACAAATATATGCCCCTCATATTCCAGAAAACGGTAAATAAATCAGCAATAATGTTTCGCGAACACTGCGTTCACTAGTCAAAAGCTATTGATCTTGGCGCAAGCAAACTACCGCCAGTTCCACCCTCTCCACGAAAAATGCGAGAATCTCGGGCTGAGAATACTCCAATTAGGCCAATTGTTCCAACGATAAAATCAAAGCGATCGAAACAGCGAATAGAACCAAATAGAATGATCTGTTGGAAAGACTAAGTCGCTTGAATTATTCATTCGCTCAACGCAGCTGAGAAGACTATTCTGGCGCTGTTTGTCGACGGGGGGGGGGCATTTTGTACTACCATTGCTTCCCTAGTTCCGGTTTACAAATCTCACCCTGGTAAAACTTGTGAACCCTTGTGAAGCTGGTGCAAGATCGTCTAGCCACCATCCTAAAACGTGTCAACTCGAGAAAAGGCTACCTAGATGGGTCGGCACATCTATGGAAAGCAGAATGCCCCCCCGTCGACAAACTGCGCCGACTATTCTATTACATAATCCAGCGAGCACACGATGATATCTGATTAGGGCTTGTCGCACACTGGCGATCCCCAGCGAGGGGGGGGGGTGTTCGGCGGTTCTCAGCGAGGAGGGAGCGGGTGTGTTTGGCGATCCCCAGGGGGGCGGGGGCGTGTTTGGTCGGTGGGGATGGAATCGCATGAACTTCTGGGCGAAATAGGCAGGGCACGCCATCGTTGTGATCATCACAAGGGGGGGTCGTATTTGACCGCGAGGGAGGGGGGGGTCGTATTTGGTCAGAGAAAAATTTTTTTGATAGTTGATTTCTCTTGTTTCACGGACGCTGTAAAGGGGGGGGTCGTACTTGGTCAGTATTTGGTGAGTTTCATTGACGGCGACACTATTCCAACACTTGAACAATGATATGTTTAATTCTGGCTATTTCCGACACTTGAAAATGATAGTTTAATTCTGACGACCTCCCCTACCCCCCCCCCCCCCCGCTCGACGGCTCGGTTCGATGAGGAAGGACAGAGGGCTGGGGGGTCGTACCAACTCCCAAAAAGGGGGTCGTATTTTAGTATGGAATTGGGGGGTCGTAATTTTCAGAAAATGATCACAACGCGATGGCGTGCCCTGGTTCCCGGGCGGCATACTCTGTCCCCCTCACTCTATGTTCGATGAGATTTTTCTGAAAGGAAAACCTCGCAAAATGGTACGAAGAAAAAGAATTTAGCAAGATGAAAGGTAGGGAGGGGGATACGAGAGGGAGGAGGGGGTTCCACCAGAGTGGGAAGTTTCAAAAGGGAGTTGCCAATCCCCGGGAAGTTTTGCCAAACTTTCCCCATTGGCAGGACGCGCCCTGTATCTGACATCATTATAGAAATGGTCAACGCTTGCAAACCAAGGGTAATGGGTTTCGGAAATGAAAGCATGATTGGTAGCTGAAATAGCATTGTAGAAGAAAAACAAAGAAAATCGTTAAGAATTAGGACCCCTGCTGGTTCAAAACACTAGCATCGAGCGAAGACATTGGACATTCAGAAGAGAAAAAGAAGAGATAATGGCGAGGGAGCATGCCGATAGGCGAGACTACACAGCCACACAGCGACCGTTCAATGAAACAAGTAGGGCGGGAGCTTAGTTCAGGGGGCGGAGTCTGGACTTTGTGGTAAACCCTTTGGCGGCCTTCCCACTCATTTTAGAGAAACCTGCAAGAGTGCGAAGTACCGTGTGTAAGGAAAGCTTTCACATACAATAGTTCGCGGGTTAGCTGCCTTCATACTTCTCGATCACGTCTCAAATCGGCATGTATCTAACTTACCGAGCGTAGTCACCGACTACATCGATTATGGCGGAGAGGTGATCTTAAGGTTGAACGCGGCCTTGGACCGATCCCTATTTTTCACAAGTTTTTTCGACAACTACGGAGCGCTACGAGCTTCCATTCAATTTCCCCTATTTTTCCATTTAGCCTTTGGTGTCGGATGGCAGGGAAAACTATTATATTATGATGGTGGAGGGGAGATGCTTCAGCGTGGGTGAAACGACCCACCCACTGCGTCTCACACTAAAGTCAGGATAAAAAAGTCCCTTCTTGACCGTTTGGGCGCTGATGGGCACAGCTAAGGCATTGTTCACAGTCTGAGACCCTGACGAAACGGCGGTTCGGCGAAAAGCAAAAAATACTTATTGATCGGAGAATCGCCAACCGCCCGTTCGACGAACCGCCGCGGTTCAGCGGTTGGGCGAAAAGCAATAGATACGTATCGATTTCGCAGGCTCCGCCCTAGAGAAAAACGCCAGGGCGGTCGGGCTAGCGTTTTTCGCCCAACCGCTTCGCCGAACCGCCCGTCGATACGTATCAAAACCGTTTCGCGCAACCGCCAGACTCTTCGCCCAACCGCCAATCGATACGTATCGAAAGCTTTTCGCCAAAGCGTTTCTTTCTAGAGAAACGGCCGCAGACTGTGAACAATGCCTAAGCAACTCAGCACGTTCAACATAGATTATTATCAACATTTATTTTACATTTTTTTTTCATTTCTTCTCTTAGTCAATATTGCCATGTTCACTTACCGCGTTCTCTATCAGTTGACTGACTGTGGCGCGTCCATTGGGCGCAAAAATAAATAAATAAGTAAATAAATGACGTGTCACTGACGTCACACAGCACATTATTAACATGTCCTGAGACGACATTTACAAAGAAAAATAGACGTTTTCTCGCCATTGAATGTTTTTCAGCGTTCTCTTAGATGTAACCTTGTGAAAGTGCTAGACGGCACGTCACCTATTGAGACGTAACAAGTATTGGACCTGTGCTAAACTTGGGCCGAAAACTGTAGTAGTTCGAGGGCTAACAGTGGTCCACGTGTTGAAGAATGAATGAAGAAGGAATGTTGAAATCGCGCCAGAACAGTCGTTATGATTAAAAATAATCTAGCAAAATGTGAATAATAAAAACTAATCAATTAGTGAAGATTTCTCAATCAAGAAATGTCATCGGAACCGCAAGCAATACTGAATAAACAGTGACTCCATTAATAATTGGCACCATTTTCTCAGAACTGGTTGTGATTCACTAGAATGATGCCGATGGAGCACTAGAGAACAAAATACACACGACAGGGTCTTTCGACTGGCTGCAGGACAAAATCGATTACATGCCACGCTGGAATTTCAGCCCCACACTAACGGCTTGGTTGGGGCAAAAACAATCTTAAAAAAACCCCTGATTCCCTAGAAACAACGAAACATGAAGCAAAGAAATGGTGCGCGAACAGAAGACCTACACGTCATTAGTGTCGTGGCCGCGCACGATCTTTGCTGCAAGTGTGCATTCACACAAAGATGAGAGTGACCGTAATCCAAAATCCGCTTACGTTGAGGAAATGAGGCGCTTAATTTATGTGATTTGAAGTGATAAAAGTGATTTGCAAGACAGATAATGTAGAAAACAATGTTCGTAACAACATATGAACCAATATTCACTGAATGCGGTGTATGTGGTGATTGTGTACTAACCGGTTTCCATTGGTACAGATGTCCGGGGGCGGCGGCTTTAGCGATGACGGGAATGAACGTTCAATTGATGAAGTCGACTTGTTTGGAATTGCGGTATTGTAACGTGGACGTCACTATGAATCACGCTGTAATATGTCATTAAGATCCAATGAAGGGAAATTACCGTAAAACAGGTAACGAATGTCGAAAACGCGAGCGAAGTCGTGTGCTACTTTGTTAGTTCAGTGTAAAAATCAGGAACAGATGAGCAGCAAAGATCGTAGTTGAATGAAAAAGTAAGGAATCGAAGAAAAGAAAAACCAAAGGAGTGCATGAATTGAAATGATTGTAAAGGGCGAGCAGGTTAATCGATTCAAGGCACAATCTTTATTTACAAATCATGCGTGTCGAGGTTGGAAGAAGGGAAGAAGTAATGAATGATTCTCAAACTGGAAAAAAGAAGTAACCGTCGCAGAGAACAACTCTCTCAGTTCTGGCATGAGACGACCATGCTGCGAAAAGAGGGCGTGTCCGGACGAGTTTTCCGAACTGGCGACCTCATTCTAGCAATCGAGTTTCGGCCGTCTAGTACGAGGAAGCTGATTTCAAGTTTTTGTGATCCGAACACTAGTCGTTTCTCTAGCAGAAAAAATATCCTAGAGGTGAACTCCTTATCCCTTGAGACGGAGTAGGCGTGGCATTTGAACATGGCATAGAATGGGTTACTTGTGGGATTTCAGTTTGAGACAACTGTCATCTTGTTCAGTGTTGGACAGAGTGACCACAATTGGTCAAAATGAAAATATCTCTCCAAAAGCACAGCCACCACCACGTTTGGTTGAAGTCGCAGACACGCCTACCACATCTCTGGGATTTCGAGTGTAAGAAAACTGGCGTGAAACTAATGAGTCAATCTAATAATGTGAGGTATTAGAAGCACTCTTTGTGCAAAATTGTGACCAGGACAAATCCCACTGTAACGGATTTTTTTTCGCAAAAACAACTCCCCTCCCTCAAGATTTCCTTCTCTGGCACGACCCTCTCCCTCCAGCGACCAAACATGATCCCCTCACTTTGAATCCCCAGCGTACGACGTGCCTTAAAGGCAGTTGGCACGATGGTTTCCTACTTAGCCTAAAATGCTAGTAGGGCGCTGTATAGTGGGGAAATGGCGAAAGAACGGAGTGAAACGGTCAAAATCCTGCGAAGAAAAAGCCTCCGTTCTCAGTGACTTGTAAATCGATTTCGGACGAGTTTCCCGTAGGCA